GAAGCTGCTACCTCCTGAGAAGGCTCAACCCCTTATTGGACAATTCTGATTGTTAAACACGCATTGGTCACTTCTGCCCAGTCACCCAAGTTTTACCCACAGGTTGAGAGAAGCCTGGCTCCTTTTTCACAGAAAGCCTTTTAGATTTTCGGTGTAGCGAATCTGTTTGTTTCCCCTGTGTTCTCTTGATCTGCCAGGGTTGAGATATTAGAGGACTATTTTATTTTATTTATTTACTTATTTTTGGTACCTGGGATTTAGCTTGGGACCTTGCACTTGCAAGGCAGGCAGCACAATCACTGAGCTAAATCCCCAGCCTGAGAAGCTCTATTTTAATTTTGAGAAACAGTCAAGTTAGACTTTGACCTGTTAATTTTTGAAAGCCTGTGTACATCACAGTGCTAGATGTTCCTCTGATCCTCTGAGGTACGTTCATGTTCTCTCCTCCCCTCTTTTCTTTCCTCTCCCTCACCCTGCACCCTGGTGTCCTGTCCCCTGGGAGATGGGGGAGGGGAGCTCACCCTTCGGTGGATGTTCTGTCTTGCAGATAGTGTAAGGTCGGTGGTGTCCCCAGATAACTGTCAGCCTCATGTGTTGTATGAGGACTGGTTTCCCTTTGGCTCGATTATCTACATGAAGCTAATGAAAAGAATCTAGGAATGAAAGAATCTCACTTTGCTGGAAGCCCCCAGGGTCATGACATGGCATTCTGAGAATTTTACTCTCCTTCCCAGTCATTCCACTTGGTACACTTGACACTGTTTTTTTTGTATTTTGTTTTTCCGGTACTGGGGATTGAACTCAGGACCTTGTGCTTGCGAGGCAGACACCAGCACCACTGAGCTAAATCCCTGCCCCAGCACTGTGTTTTAATCTACAAGGAGCATGTGCAACAAAGTGAACCAGGCAGATGTAGTTTTGGGTCCTGGTGCTCTAAGCCCCTGAGCCCTTTGCTTGACGCAGCTCCTGGAGCCACTGTCTCTTGAGCGCTGACATAACTACCGCTGCACTGTAGAATTAGTGAGAAAGTACTGCAGAGGCCCCAACCCATGGCACACAGAAGGTTTCTGCTCACCTTTGTCTTGCTCCATTATCCTCCTTTCACCACCATTTTGGACAGGTTTAAAGAAAACACTCTGTGGCTTCCATGGGGAAAATTAGCTGACCATGGGTATAGTAGCTAAACCTGGTCTTGGATGGATATTTGGGAATAGTTTCCTGTTTGCTCCTGGTGAGATCAAAGGTGTTGAAAGAGTTCTGAAGTAGGAGAGGTTAAAAAGGTTGTACATGGCAGTAAGTGACCACTCTGGCCACTGCTGACTTCCCACATGTATAACCCTGCTGTCCTGCTGGTGGGGTAACAAAGTCTATTCCTGGTCAGGCGGGATGGACCGGCATACAGCGGCTCTTCAGTACAAATGCTCTTCATATGGGTCCCTTTTGGTGCCCAAAAGGTTAAACTCTCTTTTTGCCTGTGTGTTTCACCCTCTACCATTTTCTGCTTTCTTCTACCACAGCAGCTTCCATCAGCCACACTCAGTGTCTAAGAAAAATTATTTTTGGACTGGACTGATAACTTGCAGTCACACCCACACCCCATTGATAGGCCAAGCAACCTCCTGCAAATAAACTTGAATTGCATAAGTGAGCTATGATTTATAGTAGTTGCTCAGTTGAGAACCAGGAATTCCCTCCCAGAGAAAGGGGAACGGAAGACCAGAGTTATGGGGTTGGAGTCCCAGGGGAACCCACTCCTTTCATTTAGTAGGGGGATGTGTGCTTTCTTTGTACTGAACATGAGGAGAGAGCCTGGAGGAAAAAGGTGTCGAACCTGCTTGGTACACAGAGGTGGGAGGCTTCCTGGTGGAACTGGCATCCAGCTGGACTGTGAAGGGTAGGCCAAATTTAGGAATTCTCCCCTTAGCCAGCAGCTCCTGCGAAATAAGTGTACCTGCCTCAAGATGAAGTAATACACAGTAAACCTTTTTCCAACATCCTTGCAGTGGGATATTTTAAATTAACTGGCAGGCCAGCCTTGCCTTGGACAAGGAATAGACAAAAGAAAACATCTGCTCCCGACCAACTTGTTTTTCTCTTTTTTTTTTTTAAAGTAGTGACTGGCAGTTCCTTTCTGTGAAATGGTTCAAATCATTTGATTACTCAGTGTTCAGTGTCTTGCCTGTGTCCTCCTGCCCACTGTCCCTGTCTTCTGCAGTCATGGGCTAGATGGAGGCATTTCAGGCTAAAATTCTGCCATGAAGCAGATTCTTGAGGTGAGTGTTTCCCCTTCCCAGGCCACACCTAGTACTCATTCCTTTCTTCCATGTAGTTGGAGCAGAGCTGCATAAAGCAGGAGGCCTCTTCACTGTCACCACCACCACCACTGGGCGTTCTTCTCTTCTCCTTCCTAGAGTCAACTCACACTTGAGTGTTTATTTTCACACATAGTCCCTACCTTGGTCACACTGACATGCTTGTTCTCACACTCCTCTCCTGCTGGGAAAGCCCTGTCTGAGACTCTAGGTTGTGGATTCCCTCCTCTCCACCCAGCTGAGTGTTAAATAGTTTCTGAGTGAACCTTCACAGTGCCTGCTAGTTACTGTAATTAGCTCCAAACCTCTGTGGGTAACCAACAGAGAAAGAAGCTTCTTGTGAACAACCTCAGCCTCAGATCTGCTGCAATAAACAACTGACATAACAGAGGCAGCAATGATCCTCCATTAAATGTCTTTCAGCTGAGAGGGGCTCCTGGGATAATTGACTTTCCAGCAGGAATTGCTGGCTCAAACAAAATCACTAGACACTAGAGCAGGCTTCTGCAGCCTTTGAAAGGAGACTGTAACTCTGTCTGGTTTTGCTGACCTGACAGGCATAGTTCATCTTGATTATTCATTATCTAGTTGCCACCAAATGACACTAGATTTCTAGTGAGTGTAATTACAATATGGGGATGAAGCTTTAAAAATCACAGTACTCCTCTGGCATGGTTATGGGCTCCCTGGGCTGAAGGCAACATAGGAAGGGTTCCAGCAGTGCCTGCCTGGGGACCTGATGAGCATGCTGTTCATCACACTTACTGAGCACTTCCTTATGTGAATCTTTTACTAGATAAGCAGGGAGACACTGGCGTGACCTGTTTCCTTTCAACTGACAAGAGTGCCATTTCTCTGAGACTTGCCCACTGTGTGCTGAGTTGCTGCTATCAGGAAGTGGGTCTGCATCTCAGAACTCAGAACTGAGCAGGCAAAGTGAAGTATGGCCCCAAAATATAACTTAACAATGAAAGCTTCCTTAAATAAAAATTTATTTAATTAAAACAAAAAAAATATGCAAGCTTGATTAAAGGGCAAATGGGCAGAATGGAATTCTACCAGGCTCTCATTTTGTTTGGCATGTTCTTAAAATTGAAAATTAATTTATTCTTGTTTTGTTTTGGTTTTGGTTTTTTGAGACAGGTTCTCACTATGTAGTTAAGACTGACCTGGAACTCACTATGTAGCCCAGGCTGGTCTCGAACTTACAGTGATCCTCCTGCCTCAGCCTCCCAAGTGCTGAGATTACAGGTATGCGCCACCATGCCTGGCGAAAATTAATTTATTCTTGCACTACTGGGTATGAAACCCAGAACTTTCACACTGAGCTATACCCCACCAGACCTTTTTTTATTTTTTATTTTATTTTATTTATTTATTTATTTATTTATTTATTTGTTTATTTATTTATTTCCCCAGTCCCAGGGATCAAACTCAGGACCTTGGGCTTGCAAGGCAGACATGGCGCCACTGAGCTAAATGACCCCACCACCTTTTTATTTTCTATTTTGAGACAAGTTCTGTCTGAATCACTGAATTCCCTGACTGGGCTCAAGCTTGTGATCCTTCTGTCTGAGCCTCTCTCAGTGCTGGAATTATAGGTGTGTGCCTCCACAACCAGTTTTAACATGGTTTTAGACCTAGATCCCTACACAGTCCAAAGAATAGTCCCCTAAGGAAAAAAAAAACCCTGGTTTCTTCTAGACTCAGCTGACCCTCCCCTACCACTTAAACATCCTGGCTAGCTGGGGAACATGGGTGACAGGCTCAGGGGTTTCCATTTGCATCCACTGGGCTCTCCACTAGCTCAGGCAGGGGTCAGAGATAAGCAGCAGAGTTACACTGTCATGTCCCCTACCAGCTTCCTGCATGGCATGTACATTTCTATCCTTTGTGAATAAGTATTTAGTTGGCTTGACTATTATGTGCCAGGCTGGGAGCTCTCCTGACGGTGGGGATGACAAATCATTCCAGAGTACTCTGTTAAATTCTAAACTAGAAAAAAATAATTCTAAGCTAGCAAGATGAAATAATAGAGGAACATGTTTTCCCTTCCCTCCTGTTCAGTGAATAGTGTTGGTTTAACCTAATCAATTAAATCAGGCTTAGGTTTTCATTATTTCCCTAATGAAAATGAACTCTTGCCCTGGGGCCCTGAGTCTGCCCCTTGAGACCCAAGCAGTCTTGGGTGTTGTAGTGCTCACCTCAGTAAGGCTTTCTCTTCCCTAGCATTGGGCCTTCCAAGGAGTCTTGCAGAGAGGCTGCAATTTCAGTATCTTTGCCCGCTTCCTTTGGCCTTTATCCCTGCTCAAGGCAGTGTGCAAGGAAACCAGGTGTAGCATTTTCATACTCCCAGCACAGTATGTCTCAGAGCAATGGCCTCTGAAGATGAGCTGGGGATGAGAGGTTCTCAGGACACTAGGCCTAGGACCCCTCTTGGAACATTGAGTATGAGTAACACGTGCCCACCCTTCAGGAAGTGAATGATTCTTCTGTCCAACTCCCTCTTATTTTGGAATCATAATTGAAAGCAAAAACAAGTTGTCCCTGTAAAGGGGAGAAGTAGTCATCTCTGACAGTCTCTCCCAGCGTGACTGCTGAGGGTCATTGTTGTCTCCAGTGATTGCCCTGTACTCTACTCATTCTATTCCTATTCCCCTTTCAACCTTTTGTCTTGTTCCTCTGCAGAATGGTGGTTTGGCCTGGAGTGATGATGCTGATGGAGGCCGAGGAAGAGAGATTTCCCGAGATTTTGCCAAGGTCTGTAAGACATCCTTTGTGACGAAGATGGGGAAGGTCTGCAGTGGGTTGTCCTTATTCTTATGGCTATAGTATCTCTGGTATAAGACTTTCTGAGGCAAAATGGAATGTTTCTTTGTGTTTTTTCCTTGGGGTGGGGACTGCAGCTATATGAACTAGACAGTGATCCTGAAAGGAAAGAGTTCCTGGATGACCTCTTCATCTTTATGCAGAAAAGGGGTGAGTGTGCTTGCCTTATCCTTATTTGTTGAATGCCTACTATGTGTCAATATACTATGTGCTATCCATACCCAGGACAAGGGACATTTACTGCCGATTGGGTCAGGATTTATATGAATAATTGACAGCCACGTTGAAGAAGGTAGAGAAGACTTTGGAAGAAAATGAATGGATTGATCATCTCCATTTGGCCCTGATTCTTATTGGGTCTCTTCTAATTCAAATACGCTGGACTCCACTTAAAGTAGCATATGGGTCTAGTCTCATAGAGACTGAAAGAGTAGAGATCCCAACTATATTTTGGGAGTCTGAAATGATTCCGTGGGAAGGGAAGGCCACTTTGTCTTTTTATCCATTGGCTTTTTTATTTTTGAAATCTACTGGCTTGGCTGGAAAATTTGTACAGTTTACTGTAGGCTATGTGGCATCTGCTTTATAATTTATCTTCCTGATCTCTGCCCGCCTTCCCTCTTCCTCCCCTCACTGTCAGCTGTAGCCATCACCACTGTAGACCCTTGCATGGCTGAGTAGAGCTCAGGGGCTCAACTTCCTAGTGTGACATCCTGTCCTGGCAATGGGTTCACCAGCCAGGTGAGCACTCAGGAAGCATTGCCAGAACCCCAGCCTCTTTAGAAGGTTCTTAGTTGTTCAGCCCATGCCTCTACCTTCACCCAACTCAAGAGACAACTGGAGAAAAGTGCTTCTCCCACCAGCCTCTACCCTGTGGATGCCTGATCATTCTTCCCCTGGGATCTGGGTCAGTGGCTTTACTGAAACTGAGAGTGACATTGTCTCTGTCCTAGGCTAAGCTGTAACCCCAAGAGTTAAAAATTCTGAGCATTCTTTATTGCTTTCCTTGGCTTGATCTGTCCTTCTCCCCTTCTCCCCTCCTTTCTCCCCCATTCCTTACCTTCCAAAGCCTATTGCCTTCTTGGTGCAGGGCTGTATTAACAAAAAGGCAACAGAAAGTTTTGAGTCTATGCTCCCTGTCTCCAGGCCTATCAAAGCAGTTTCAACAGCCCTAATTAGTTTACTCCACCAACGGTTATCTGGAGCTGGAGCTGGAGCTGGAGCGAGGAGCTAAAAAACAAGAGTATAATCCTGAAAGATAATGTGACTGGCAGCAGTGAAACTCCCTGGTTGCCCTGAGAGAGAGAAATCCACTTAATACTTTGGTCTCCCCTTCCAATTACCTTTTAATTATTTACAAGCTGTACAAGCCCAGCTGGTGCAAACCCGGGTGCTGATCCTGTCTCGGAGGGGCTGCCATAGCAATATAGATTTTAATCAGCTGTGCAGCACCACTGCTTTATTTTCCACTTTATTGTTTTTTGCCCTTCCCAGAAGGACTGTTAGAGGAAAATGTAAGTTGTGTCAGCCTCACCGAGAGTGATATTTGGCAATTGCTTACCGTTAGATGTCCTCACTGGACTGGGAGCTCCTCAAGGACATGCCTCTGTGCCCCTAGCATCAACAGGGCCGGGCCAGGAGGGTCTCAGGGAATTTTTGGTGTATGAGCAATTTGGTTTTCCTGTCACAGCCTGCCTAGCAAGGGGTGCTGCCTTGAGCTACTAGGTGTGTCTGCTTCCTTTCCACAGCCACCCTGTAATGGGAGGCAGCAGCAGAGAACAGTCTTGCTGCCTGTCTATTCTGGAGCAGCCACATTGCCATCTCTTATATTTTTGAGTGAGCCCAAAGCAGGAGTAAGTGACTCCCTTTGGTAAGTCAATTTGTGGTTTACTCAGGTCTTGCCTTCAGCACTTGTATCAAGTATTTTACTGTTTGCTGGCATCACCGCAGTAGGGGAGCAGATCAGTCTATCACTTGCGAGTGTCTCATGCAGAGTTCCTTGGCTGCAGCACTACTGACTCTAGGGGCTGAATTCCCCATTCTTGTGGGCAGTCCTGTGTGCTGTAAGGTATTTACAGTATCCATGGCCTATTCCCATGAGGTGTCAACAGCAACCTCCAGTCCTAACAACCAGAAACGTCTCTTAGATATTAGAAGCAGCCCCTGGTGAGAGCCACTGCTATAGGATGGTCAGAGTAAAGATAGAAAAAGTCTCTATAGAAATCTTCCTTCCAGGTACCTGAAGGTGGTCCTAAGTCAGGCATTAATCTCTATCCCTCTTAACTGAGTACCAAGGAGTGGGTGCTAGAAGCCCAATTTGAGGTGGAGAGTACTGTTTCAGGGCCCTAGGATATCCTCTCTCCTCTCTCTCATAGTCTCAACAAGAGTAGTGGATCAGAAGAGCTGGGAGCAGGCTGCTCTTTAAATTGTTTGGAGTTTGCTGTCTTTGCTCTTCATAAAAACAGTGAGGCCAAAGATCCTAGATGTGTGTGACTTACTCATCCCTCCCTGAGCAGAGTGGCTAGGGTACTCAGGCAGATCTTGTTAGCCGGGACCAAGGAGAGGCTTCACAGACCTCAGCAGCAGGGCAGCAAGCTGGTCCTAGAAAATCTGTGAAAGGTAAGTGGTAGATGCTCAGCTTGAGTGTGACAAGCCTGGAGATGTCCACCTCGGTGTGAGTGCAGCCAGACATTTAGACATGGGCCATTACAGAGGAAGTGGATGGGCTCCTGGGGAGATGACTGCAGCTGCAGATGATAAAACAGCTGTCCTGCTGGAGAGGGCACAGGCTGTGACTGTATGCTATCTCTTTTGCCTGTTGACACAATTGGGCAAATTAACCACAGCAGATGGCTCTTTCCTCTTTAGGTCTTCAAGTGTCTAGGCCAGACCAGGTCCCCTGCATGCTGAGCCCTCCCTGACCAGCACAGCACCCCACCAGTACAGGAGCCTAGGAGGAGTGGGTGGGCTGAGGCAGTGCTGTCTCTGGCTCAGTGTCTCTTGTGAACCTTGAGAGATGCAAGGCCTCTGGAGGCAGAGTACACAAAGCCAGGGCTCATCTCCACCTCCTCCGTGGTTTTGAGCAAATCCTTCCCCTGTGGGCCACACTTTTTTTTTTTTTTTAAATCTATAAATCAAGGAGGTTCATGTCCACTTGGAAGCTTCTCTGTTCTGTATTCTGTATCCGTGATTGTTCTTTTGAGCTCCCCCTGGGGACAAAAAACAAAGGAAGCAAAGCCCCTTTAAAGAATTTTCTGTCATATTAATTGTGTGCAGACTGTATCAAGAATCTCTAAGACCAAATGTTTCTTCCCTTTCTTTGCTAAATAATGGATTTCTTCTTTTGCTAACTGAAGCCAAATCAAATTATACAAGTTGCTCCAGATTCTCTTTCCCCTCTAGAATATCTCTCTAGAAAGCGTGGTTAGATTGCAGAGTTCCCAAGGGACTAATTTGTAAGTCTGATAAGCAAAAGCTATATATAAACAATTCCATTTTTCCTTCATCCCTGAGGAAGAAAAGCTTGTTCCCATTTTCCCTAGGAGGTGAACCAGCAGTGTGATCTCATTAGAGTTGGATGATGATGATGATGATGATGATGATGATGATGATTTTGCAGTTACTTTTATTTTTAACCCGTACCCTTAATAGAACTCTTTAATGCATCATCTGACCTGCTGCAACCCAAGCTGCAGCTCTGTGGAGTAGAAAGGGCAAAGGTTATCAGTCTGAGGTTAAGGTACTCAGCTAGGACCAGAGCACAAACTTTGCATCTATCTTCCAACTCCTACGCTAGCTCTTTCCTTTTCCCTGCACAGCATGTGAGACACTGGTTCCCCAGTACTGACAACCCTGTTCCTGGTTTTAGAGCAGCAGGCAAGCTTAGTCTGTCCTGCAGCATTCTGAGCCCCGCAGCAAGTGCTGAGCTCCTCCACTGGCCATTGTCCAGCAGAGAGAGGGTCCAACAGCATTTAGATGATTGATGCAAGAGGCATGACAATTTATAGCAAGGAGGCCGGTACTTGACAAGTCAGGATGGGATGGGGACACAGGAGACACACCCAGAACATGGCACCAGTAAGGCTGTTCTTTCCTGCCCTTGCCCCCCCACCCCTCCGTGGGTGCACCCGGCTAAGGAGCCACCTAGTCATGTGAAAGACAAGTTTTGTCAAGACCTCATGTAGAGTGGCCCTCTCACTCCTACCAGTTCTGGTCAAGGCTGCTCACTGACCTTGGTTTTCCCCAGTGGATTGTTAGATCTGTTTTTGATGTATATATACAAAGAATTTACTGTGGGAAAGGGCTGGGCTTGCCTCAGAGTATAGTCTGAGTGTTTTTCCTTCTGTTGTGTGCTTATCAATCCATCTTGGGCAAGGAAATGTCTGACATATATTGCTTGGCTTTTGATGAAGGCGGTTTCTTCTGTATTCTTTGTATCTTATAGTAAATGTTCTGTGCCCTGTACACTCTTCCTGATAATCTAAAATGTGTTGTCTTTGTCCGTTGAGATCAGTTTAGGGGCTTCGTTTTTTTTTAAGCAAAACATTTATTGGTACATTTTAGATATACATAATGATAACATTCATGACAAGGAATTTTTACCCCTTCATGATGTATCTCGCTTCTTTTCTTTCCCATTCCCCACTCCCTTCAACACTTGTTCTCCTCATTTGCAAAAGCTTTGTTTCTACTTTTTCCTTCTATTCTTTTTTCCTGTCCCTGCTTTCCTCCCTCCCTTCCTTGTTCTCTTTTTCATTTGAACATATTCTTCCCATTTCCCAATATTTATTAAACATTTTAGTCCTTATTTCCACTTTTCAGTTTCTCACACCAGAGAAACAATATGGTATTTAAACATGTATGTCTGATTTATTTCACTTGAGAATATGGTCTCAAGGTACATCCATTTAGCTAAGATGTGGGGTTTTTTTACACAGTGGTATACTATTCTGCCATAAAGAAAGTCGAGCTTATCATGTTGGTTAAGGGCTTCATTTTTAACTTCAGACCCAAATGAAAGTGTAAAATGCAAATGTTTGTCTCAGAATTAACCTTTTGTCTGAGGCCAGATCCTTTTCTCTCTACAGGTAATCTGGCTTGCTGCTGCTGCTGCTAAATACTCAGTTTTTCTTCCTCCCATCTTTAATAGT